ATTTATGTTGTTAATAGATTATGGATAAGGATAGATTTTTTAACTCCACATACAATTATGAGATTAAATCATTAAATTGGATGCAATGTTTTTTTGTGTGAAATGCGTATGTTCTCAGTCTTATTTTTTTGATACTAGTTTTATAAAATTTTTGTTAATTTGGTACATGAAGAAATCATTTCTCGTCCTTTTAAATATTATAGTTTAAAACAATAGTTGATTAGTTGGTATTTGGTAAAAAAACTACATATATATAAAGTTGTAGATAAATAAAATGGTATCATATTATTTATTTATTTTCAATGCAACGAATAAATTTAAATTAATATTATGATGTTTTTATAGAATCATCAATGAAATCCACATTAATACTCAAGAGAATATAAAATATAAGAGAATAATGAATGGACTATTTTAATCTAAACTTTCGGTTCATATTCATTCATTACAGCAAAGAATGCAACGGTTCATATACATTGATTAAGAAAGAAAAATGAGAAGTGCAAAGGTCTTCCTCAACAATCCCAAAGGACAATTGATGTTAGAAATTTATGGTGGTGGGCGGCACATATTTCTTTCAACAATCCCAAAGCACAACTATAACCATAGAGCCATAGATTTATCATGGATTGGAGTTTCATGGTTCAGATTTTCTCTCTCTTTTTTTTTGTTTGTTACCCCCAAAATCTTTTGCTTTTGTATATAGTATAGATTATTATTATTATTATTATTATTATTATTATTATTATTATTATTATTATTATTATTATTATTATTATTATTATTATTATTATTATTATTATTAATCAAAACAATTTGATCAATTGATTATTCATTTATTGAAAATTCTAGGGTATGTTTTGGGGCGTTACATATAAAGTATAAGCCGTTTGGATAAAATAAAGCATGACTCACAAATGAGGCTTTTAGTCCTATTTATAATAATGTCTAAGCACGTCAAGCACGTCTCCGCTCTTCTGGCAAGTCAGTCTCCAACCGGTCAGTACGCATGCCTTGTCAGACGAAGCCATGTTCGTGATTCTGCATCTTCTCATACCCCACCAGTCAGACTTCCTCGGCTTACCAAGTCATGGGGCATTAGTTTAAGGTTCCTCCTAGTCGGTTACGAACCTACCGGGTGGAATCAATGGCTTATTACCCATCAGTACCTTAAACGAAGGCTAGTTTAAGAGTTGGAAAGTCGCACGGAAAATATGTACCTTAAACTAATGACCTAGCTTAAGAGTGGAGTAAGTGATTGGCCTTGGACTAGGAATAGTTTAAGGATACTGTTAAATATGTCTCTGACCCTAATTAATTGGGACTAAGGTGATGATGATATCATGATACTACATATACAAAGAGATGACATGTAAGATCTAGAGCTCTAATTTTCGTCTTCAATAATGCAGAATAAGAATATAGGATAGAGTTTTATCTAGCTGGCTGCCTTTCACTGTTTTGCATGTCTTTCTATACTTAGGTATCACTTTTTTTGCATAATTCTTATATGATAGAGATTTAATTCAAAGTTTTTTGGACTTTGCAGGTGTCGAACAAAGAAAATAACACAAGAAAAGATGGTAAAGCTTTTTTATAAACTGAAGTCAGGCTTATGCATGAGTGATTCCGCACCAGTTTGAATACAAAGTGAAGATCTACATTGTGCAGTGGTTGGAGGACATAACATAGAATACTAAATATATATTGCATTCCTTTTTAATTTTGAACTCATTTGTTTTGACTCTAGATTTTTGATATACGTACTACCCATGGAGGTACTTATAATTTGATGATGGCATAGCTTTTTATATGCAGGATTAGTAAGTTAATTTAATTTAAACTTTGATTGTCTTGATTTTTAATTTATATGTATGTATGTATGTATATATATATATGTGTGTGTGTGTGTCTGTGTGTGTGTGTATATATATATATATATATATATATATATTACAAATCTTTAATTGAAAAATACCGTAAAAAACGATTTTTAAAAATTAGTTACAGAGTTGTGATTAGCCACACATGTTTGTGTGCATATTATATTTATTTATTTATTTCAAGCAAATAAAAATTGCCGCATTTACATGTGCGGTGCATTGGAAACACATATAAATGTCGCAAAAGACAAGATTAGCAACACTTACAAGTGTGCTTACCGTATTCATTTTGCCACACTTATTTTATGTGTCGCAAAATTTTCCCCACACTTTTAGCCGCCACACTTAGCTCATGTGTGGCGAACACTGTAACACCCCAACCCGCATAACCCAAATAAATAGGATAGCGAACCGGGTTGCTACTAGATTGGTATCCACATACAATAATATCCAATAAATTAAAACATTTAATTTAAAACTCAACAATTTAAAATCATTTAAATACATATCGGAGTTTATACAAACAGTGCGGAAGCCTTATAATCAAATCAAACATTAAATCCCTGCATCCGTACATCTCCTCCGTCATGCTGCTCTCCGAGATGGATTCCAGAAACAATCTACCACAACCAGCTACGTGTAGCAAATAGGAAAAAGGGCTACACGCTCAGCATTGAAGCTAAGTGAGAAATATCTAATAGTTCGAACATACACATAGGCGAATCCACTAATTCATAATCATCACATGATATCATGCACACAACATGCTTGGCAACAATCATACGGCATGCAAGATATAACAGGTATCATCAACTTCATAACAGTTCATAAGATACAACAGCGTCAATATATGTATTAGGAACTTTCCTTCTTAGTTTACTTTACTTTCTTTATTGTACTCGGCTCTTAACCTATGCTAGGTTAAAGCTTAGCTGAATCGACTTGCCTATGGAATCAAGACCTTCCCCTTCGGAACGAAAGTCAAGCTCAAACCAACTCGGGAGTTCCTCGTTGGGTGGGTGAGATCCCTGTCCCCTTCGGAACGATATTTCTTAGATCCCCGTGTACACGTTTTTACCCAAACAGCCATTGGACACAGCAGGTACCACATGGCTCTAACTAACCATACTAATGGCATACCTTGCCACTAATCCATTCATGTCATTTCCTAGAGTTCTTCTAGGTGATATATTCAATATTCGTTAATCAATACATAATACAACATCCATGAATCCACAATTCATTTAACAAGATATCCAAATAATCAAATAGCGTCCTAACACTGGGTGTACACACCCATGTTTACCGTCATGTAACACACAGAGTCTCGGAATCAATCCTTGACGAAAACACGGGTCGACAGACCCGGCACTAGGTACCTGACCGTACTTGTCATGGTACAGGGTACCGTCCATACGGTACTTGGGTACCGGTCCTACGGTACTTGAGGTATCGACCGAATCATCTGGGCTCTTTCGGTGAGGCTGTCACGGTAGCCGACTACCGATTGGGCGGTAGGGCCTACTATCCGTCCGGTACCCAGGTACCGAACAGTCACAGCTACCGACAGAGGGAACATAACAAACAGAGTGTGACGGTAGCATGGTACCGTCCGGCGGTACCGCCTACCGTCTGATGCAACAAACTCCATATTCGTACCTGTTTCGTTTTGCAGCATCAAACCAACAGCAATATCATAATCGCAAACACCAATTGGTTTATATTAACCTTCTAAACATCATCAGCACATCAATTCATCAATCAATGCCTAAATCATGCATACTACCCTTTTTGATTTAACGACAGCAATCCCCAAAACCATAACCAACGATTACACAGATAAGTCACATAGATCAACCACGATAACAATCATGAACGGAATTTCAAACCTAGATGTATATTCTAGTGTTAGATGTCCACGTACTCACCTCGTTGGTTCGATTCAATTGAAGAAAACGTCACGCGGATGCTATGTTGGAGTAATCTCGCCCGCTGCTCGACTACCCACTGTTACCCGGAACTTCCTAGATCTGACCGCCGTCGTGCCAGTCGTCGCCGGATGGGAATCGCCGTTCGCCGCCAGGTCAACACGCTGGCGTGCTTGCGTCGCTGTCGAAGGTCGCCGGAATAGGGTCACTGGTCAAGAGGGCGTGCCACCCCTCGTGCTGCTGCCTTCCTCGCCAAACGCCGCCGATCCGCCTCTGCATCACGGTCGCCATCGCTAACTCGACAAAGGAACCCTCACCGATTGTTTCCGTCGATTGGGTCGTTGCGCCTAGGTCAGAACAGAGAGAGAGAGTCACCGGAGAGGTCTGCCTGCCGTGGACTAGCATCGTCCTTCCTCGTCGCTGAATGGAGAAGAAGACGATGGCAGTGGTCTGCGGATTGGCTGCTATCGAAGAAGGGGGAGGCGGAGACCACTCCCTCCGTCCAAAATTAAGTTCTCACTTCCCTTTTCGGTCCGTCCAAAAATAATGTTCCCATTTCTTTTTTTAGTAAGTTTTATAGAGTTAAAAGACAAAACTACCCTCATCCATTACATTTCTTTTTTCTTTTTCCTTTTCTTTTCCTTCCCACTTCGTCAGCCACCCTCCCCACTCTCCCTCTTTTTTCCTTCTTTTTCTTTCTTTCTTCCTCTCAATTCCGTCTTCTTGTTTTATTCTTCTTCTTCTTTTCTTGTTTTCTTCTTCTTCTTTGTCCTTCCGTCTTCTTCTTCTTACTTCTTCTTCATTTTTTTCTTGTTTTTCTTCCTTCTTCTTTCGTCAATTAAAAAAAGAATTTTTTTAGATCTGATTCCATCTTCCTCAGATCTAGATTTGGAGGAACAATTTTTTTTATTTTTTTCCAGATCTAAAGTGGGATGTTGATTTTCTTCCCTAAGAGCACTGGTAATACACGCAACGCCCCCCGGCGTGATGGGGCGTTTAACGCCCCGGCGGCGTTAAACACCGCCCCCCTCCGGGCGTGATGGGGCGTCGCGGGCGCTGCGTCAAAGGAATGACGCGGCGTCATTCAATCCCTCCCCCTCCCCAACGGCTATAAAGCCGTTACAAATTTTAAAAAAAAATTATTTTTTTTCCTATAAATTCAAACCCTCCCCCTCTTAATCTCTCACACTTTCTCTTCTCAATTTCTTCTTCTTCTCATTTTAAAATTCGAAATTACTCTATTTTTATTCATCATGAATCCTTCCGGCTCCGGCTTCGTTCCCGACAATCTCGCCCCGAGCGACGCCGCGATGTGGTTCTACCAAGAGTGGGGCGATCGACCGCCGATATTCGAGACACAACAATCCGGGTACGTCGACCGAGATTCGGTTCCGGAGACTCAACCGGAACCGTCCAGATCGAAAAAAAGTACACGCTGGAGGAGCCACAAAGCCAAAACCACGTTGACCGAGGCGGCACGGTCAATCCAAAAGTGGACGCCGGAGGAGGAGTGCATATTGGCGTCGGCTTGGGTTGATGTCTCCGAGCATCCTATCGTTGGTAAAAAATTTTTTTCTAATATATTTATGTTCTTATTTATATACATTATATTTAATGGTGTCTAAAAAAATTGTGTAATACATTTTTAAAGGTAATGAGCAAACGATCAATGCGATGTGGGATCGTATCGAGGAGAAGTTCTTCACGGCGATGAAGAAGGACGGCTCCTACCGAACCCGTGACCAACTCACTTCCAAATGGGGCCACATCAACAAAAAAGTCCGAAAGTTTATGGGAGTATACGAGGAATGCTCCCGAACCCGGAGGAGCGGCACGAACGATGCCGATGTTCTCCGACTTGCCACGACCCGGTATCAAGACGACGGGAACCAAGGCAAGGTGCCCATCGATCTTTGGAGGATTTTGAGTCGTTCCCCGAAGTGGCAACAACTCAACAATCCCGACGGCGGACCGTTCCGGACCGACGGCGGATCATTCCGAAAAAGATCCACCGTCGACGCCGAGGTTGAGGTTGACGAGACTATCGGTTCTACCGATTAAATCCCTCCCTTCAACGTTGCGGATTCCGATGACGAAGACCCCATTCCACGGCCGATCGGAAAAAAGAAGGCAAAATCCATTGCCTCTGGTTCGGGAGGGTCCGCGTCTTTTTCCGCTTCTCCCCGCGACGAAATCGGCCTGGCAATGGTTGAACAACTTCGGGCGTTCAATCTCAGGAACAAGAGAGGTTGAAGCTAAAGGAGAAGGAGTTGAAGATAAAGGAGCAAGAGACCGAGATGCAAGTCATGCAAACCGACCCCGAGACGTTGTCGGAGTTTGGACGAATGATCTACGAGCAAAGAAAGAGAGAGATCAAGGAAAAATATAAATTACCTTAGTTTTTTTTATTAATGTATCGTTTTTTTAAATTATTGTCACTTTTTTATTTAATTAATGTATTTTTTTTATTATTCGTGTTTCAATTTAATTAAATAATAAATTAATTTGAATTTATAAATTTAAATTTAGAAGATGTATATTTAAAAATGTAAAAAATGAAGGTTTGAAGCCCCAGTTTGAAGCCCCGGGGCTTCAAAACCATTTCCAGTGAATTTTGGGTGTAAGTTAAAGCTGATGTGGCAGAGAGAGAAATTTTGAAGCCCCGGGGCTTCACGGGTATTTCCAGTGCTCTAAGGAGAAGTCTAAAAATAGCGGGGGGTTGTGATAGCGAGAGGGATGCTAGCGGCTGCGACGGCTGGGGCGCTGCGATGCCCGGAGCTTTCGACAGCGGGGATGCGAAAGCATCATTGACGGCGGTGCAGAAGCGGCGGAGGCGGCGGTGCAGAAGCAGCGGAGGCAGCGGTGCAGAAGCGGCGGCGGCGGCGGTGCAGAAGTGGCGGCGACGGTAGTGCAGAAGCGGCGACGACGGCGGTGCAGAAGCAGCGGCAACGGCGGTGTACAAGGGTAGACGGCTCCAGTGGGGGTGGGGTGTGCAGGGGTAGAAAAGATGAGGGGCATAAAGGGAAAGTCAACACAATTTTCATTCCACCTAAATTTGCGCACCGAGTCAAAGCGGGAACTTTAAATGTGGACGGAGGGAGTATATATTTATGCCTAGGGTTTTGTAGTCCGTAAATTAAAATAACGTGTCTGAGTAAAAACACACTTTTCAGGCTAACTTGCTCCGAATTGGGATTCGTTTGCGTGGTTGGATTCGATTCATCGATCCCTACCCAACGATATAACTTTTATGATCGGACGACAAACATTTGTATGTTCCACTCGGTCCGTCTTAATTCCTTTGATTAATTAATACTAATCAGTCTTTTACTTTAACCCTTTACAATTATAATCAGATTAGCTTCGTTATACTGAGACAATTACAATCTCTAAATTATCTTTTAATTCTTCAAAAGAATATATTGTCGTAAATAAATTAATTCTTATTTATTTATTTATTTATTTATTAACTTCTAGCCCGGTTTCTAGGTCGTTACAAACACTTTTTGCCACACTTATATATGTTGCGAAGAGCAATTTTAAGTGTGGCGAAAGACATAATTTCTTGTAGTGAATGTTGGACATTGAATAATAAATAATGATGAATGTTATGTGCATGATATCAAATGATTTAATTATAAATTGAGATTCAATTTATATGGATGTTCGACTCCTTAGATATGCTTACTCAGCTTCACCGCTGAGCGTGTAGTGTGTTTTATTTCCTACACGCAGGTAGACAGAATGAATGATTGGACTATTCCTGGTGATGGGTGTATTTCACCCATGACCGGTCAAAGGTCCGAACCAGAAAATTGACCGGTCAAAGAAGTCGAGCTCGAAAGGAAGTGATGAGTCGTCAGAGGGTTGACCCAGAACTTTGACCGGTGTACTTCGGATAGCATACCGGTCAAACTCGCCTATGGTCTAAATCCATCCTTCGAAGTTGGCCAAACCAACCTACAAGGACCAATCGGTGCAGTTTTTAGACATTGGGGAGTGTCGGCAGGAGGAATCCAAAAGGACTTGGACTGTAGTGGTTGGAATTGCATAGATGCTGGAGGAATATTTCCAAACCAGAACGCGACAAAGGCGCAGCCCCCCACGCAAGATGACAAGGCAGTACAGAACCAATCACCTTGCAGCACATCAACGGCGTGCCCCCACGTGGGCGCACGTGGCCTTGTCCCCCTTTAGCCTAGTATAAATACTCATGTAAACCTCAGAAAGAGGGATCGGAATTCTCTAAACTCCCCTGTAAAAGCACCCGTGCATTCTCTTTATTAATATCAAAAGGCTACAGGTGTTTCCACCTAAAGTCTTACTGGTCATTCTGAGTGTTTTTACTTTCTTTACTTTACTGAATCAAGCCAACTATTCTAGACCCGGTCTAGTATAGTTTGACCGGTCAAGTAATTTACACCATCATTTTTGGCGCCACCCGTGGGACCGTTAAGGTTTCTTCTCTTCTAAACACAAACCTACCCACAAAAACACCACTCAAAATGTCTTCAAGCCAGCAGATCAATGCAACTTCCACTCAGGTGCAAGCCACCATTGAAGGTACCAGCATCCCCATGGTTGCTACCCTGTCAGCCGTTTATGCTCCGGTTTTGCCAATGGGTCTGAGCTCGGTCCCAACACCCAACATGGTCAGCCCATTCACGGCCCCCGTCCCTTCCGCTGGGCCGAGGGTCACTTTCCCACCAAGCATGACTCAGTTCATGAATGACCCCGCCAACCTGCAGGCCATCCAGGGCTTTGGCCAGGTCATGGCTATGTGCCAACAGAATGGGGGGATGCCTTTCCTCCCTGGTATGTTCCCGTTCGCTCTCCCGGGTGCGGGAACCATGCCCCTACAAGCTCTAATGGCGGTGTCTCCCTTCCAAACGCCAGTGCCGCAACCATCACCTTTCCAGCCGCAGCTAGTCAGCGCTGTGGCCCCCATCAACTTGACTGGTGCGCTTAACGCCGCAGGGCCATCGCGTCCCCCGCAAGGTACGAATCCGCTAATCACTCCGGATGGTCACAGCGTCTCGGTTGAAAGCGGAGACGACGAGTGGGACATTCCAAGGACCCACAAGAAAAAGAAGGGAAAGACTATCCGCCCAGCAACTTCCCGAATTTCCGCCTTCAAAAGGCTGGGGGAAAGGGAAGAGGGCCAGAGAAAATCAGCCAAGCTAAGGCTGGGGCAAAGCGTTGCCCATGTCAGCGCATTCGCCCGGTTAGGCGAGATGAGGGAGGCCGAGCCTGCCCGCACCCAACGCTCCCGGTCAAACCGGTGGGAACCAGCAAGGACGAGGGCCTCTCGTCAAGAAGAGGAAGCAGAAAGCCAGCCTAGGGTACCGGTGGCTAACCGGTTAACTATCCCCAATGACCGCGTCCAACAGATGGAGGCAAAGTTGGAGAGGCTTGAGAAGAAGGTCGGGGAGAAAAGTGACCGGGACAAACCCCTTGCCGGGTCCCCGTTCACCACGAGAGTCCATTTGACGCCTTTCCCGCGAAAGGTCAAGATAGACGCCCTGAGATTTACCGGTAAGGAGGATCTAGAAATACATCGGGATTCTTTCAATCAAAGTGCAACCATGAATGGTTGTACAAACGAAGAAAAGTGCCTCCTTTTCTTCCAAACCTTGTGAAACCGAGCTACTGAATGGTTCAACAAGCTCCGCCCAGGAAGCATTGACTCATTCAGTGACTTGGCCTCAAAATTTAAGGCCAAGTTCCAGGAGAACTGTACTAAGAGGAATAAATTCACCTATCTTAGTACGGCAGGGCAGAGGGAATCTGAAAACCTCACTCAGTTCCTTACCCGGTGGAAGGAGGAGGTAGACAAGGTTGAGGAGATGGACGACAAGACAGTGTTGTCCCTTCTCTTGAATGGCTTACGTGGCGGGGAACTATACAAGGAGTTCTGCCGAAAACCCCCGGCCACGTATCAGGAGGCCTATCACACAGCATGGGAGTTTGCTGAGGCTGAAACTCAACTCCGGGCGAGGAAGGAAGCCGAGCATGGTTACAAGCCCAAGCCGGTGCAAGTCAAGAAGGAAGAAGCACCGGTAACCAGCCGGCCAAGGCACCATTATGACCCGGTCGTCCGCGTGGTCAACACGGAAGAGTGCCAGGAGGTAAGGAAAGCACCGGTCATTCCTCCGGAAATCCCTACCGGTCAAACTGGGCGTCAGTGGTCGGGCACCTATTGTTCGTACCACAGGTCAGATTCCCATAACACTTCCGAATGCAAGAGTGTTAAGGGAGTAATCCGGCAGATGATAGACAGCGGGGAACTGGGCAAGGATTACCTGCAGAAAGCCCAAGAGAAGAACCACCAGTGGGTTAGGCCAGCAACCCAAGGGAATGACCGGGACAATGACCGGCGGAGGAACAACCGGCAGAGGGAGCAACAGCCTCCCCTTGACAAAGAGCACATTGGGATGATCTTCGGCGGGCCTGAAGGCGGAGATTCAGCCGCGCAGCGGAAAAATTGGGTTCGCAGCATTTACGTGGGCGAAGTAAGTGCTGAACGAGCCAGGCGTAAGTATCCCAGGAGGGAGCCAATAGTCTTCACTGACCGGGACCTCCCTCCTACCGGTGAAGATCACAATGATCCATTGGTCGTCACCATGGACATCAATGGGGTGGATGTCGCCCGGGTACTTGTTGACACCGGCAGCAGTGTCAACATCCTCTACCTGGAGACCTTCCAGAAACTCAGGTTGTGTCGGACGCAACTTGAACCCCTCAAAACCCCTCTCTCAGGCTTCACGGGAGACACGGTGGAAGCTGAAGGGTCCATAGTTCTACCGGTCGAACTAGGATCGGGCGAAAAGACCGTGTGGAAGAGAATGCGGTTCATTGTTGTGGACATCAAATGCGTCCACAACGCTATCCTGGGGAGGCCGGGCATCAACAAGGTTGGGGCGGTGATTTCCATGCCTCATCTATGCATGAAGTTTCACACTCCAGGCGGTGTGGGAGAAGTGAGGGGCGACCAGAGGAACGCCCGGGAGTGCTATGCCCGAGCGGTCAAGAAGATGACCATGTCATCTCCCAAGAGATCACGAAGGGAGAAACCCGGGAGAAGTTGGAGCCTGAAGCGGAAACGGTGGAAATTGAACTTCACCCGGGTGATTCATCCAGGATGGTCAGAATTGGAGCAAACCTCCCCAAAGATCTCAAGGCGGAGATTACACGGGTCCTCCAAGAATACGCGGGCATATTCGCATGGAGCGTGGCGGATATGCCCGGGATAGACCGCTCAATCATCTGTCACCGGCTGGCAGTGAGGGATGGAAGTCGACCGGTGCGCCAGAAGAAGAGGTACCTGGCCAGTGACCGGCGAGACTTCGTCAAGAAAGAGGTGAAGGACCTCCTCAGCGTTGGTCACATTCGGGAAGTCAAGTACCCGGATTGGCTGGCCAACATGGTCCTTGCTCCCAAGGGAGGCACGTGGAGAATGTGTGTGGACTACACGGACTTGAACAAGGCATGTCCGATGGATTCATACCCCCTTCCCAGCCCAGATCAAATGGTGGATGAAACTGCGGGGTGCGAACTCCTAAGTTTCATGGATGCCTTCAAGGGCTACCATCAAATCTACATGGCCAAGGAGGATGAAGAGAAGACGTCATTCCTCACCCCCGAAGGAACATATTGCTACCGGGTGATGGCGTTTGGCTTGAAGAATTCAGGGGCAACCTACCAGCGCATGGTTAACAAGCTCTTCAAGCCACTACTGAGGAAGACCATGGAGGCTTACGTCGACGACATGCTGATCAAAAGCCAGGTATCCCTCAACCACCCGGCCGATATGCGTGCCACATTTGATATCATGGCAAGATACAACCTCCGGTTAAATCCCAAGAAATGCGTCTTCGCGGTTTGTACCGGGAAGTTCTTGGGATTCATGGTGACCAAGAGAGGAATAGAGCCCAACCCAGAAAAAATCCGGGCTATCACTGAAATGCAGGCCCCCACATCTGTGAGGGATGTCCAAAAGTTGACCGGTCGTCTAGCGGCACTCAGCCGGTTCCTTTCCCGGTCAGCTGAGAGGTCCCTGCCTTTCTTCAAAGTCCTGAAGAAGGCCAACACTTTTGCATGGGACGAAGAGTGCCAGAGGGCGTTCGAGGAGTTGAAAGAGTACCTAGTGTCGGATATTGTATTGTCTAAACCCCAGCCGGGTGAAACTCTGTATCTGTGTTGGACAATGTGCTATCATGAATATATATTTTTGCAATGTTCTTTGCCCATTGTCTTTTAGGTTTTGATAATGACAAAAGGGTGACAAAACATCATCATCATATTGTGCGTCAAGGCTAAGAATCAAAGCTACAACAAGTTCATATCCGTCCGTGAAGAAGGGACTTGAGCATCGGTGGAAGGAACGAGACCGAAGAGGTTGTTTCTTTAGTTGGGTAGTGTTTTAGGTCTTAGATTTTGTGTTAAAGAGTATGGAATCTCTAAGGTTCATTCCCTTATCATCCTACCTTTAAAATACATTTTTTTCCAGCAAATTATTCGAATAAATTGCAAACTATTCGAATAAATCCCTGAACTTCTTTTCTGACTTAGTTGAATAAATCCAGAACTAGTTGAATAAGTCTTGGTTTTTCAATCTGATTTATTCGAATAAATCTCAATTTATTCGAATAAGAACTGGTTTTTCAAGCCACGCGATTGATCCAAACTATTCGAATAGTTCTTGAGTTATTCGAATAAGTCGACAGTTTCAACTACCAAACGGCTAGTTTTTTGAATTCTTTTCATCTCTATCCACTTCCTAACTTCTATAAACAACCCTCTTCGTGATTGTCTTGATTAGAGCACTAAGAACACTTTGAAAAACATATCCTTTGAATATCTTAAGAGATTCTACTCAATCCAGTCCTTATATCCAAGCAAGGCAATTGTTTTGATTGCTAAATCATTTCTTGCTTGAGTTTTTCCTCATTGCTTGAGTCTTTGAGAGATATTGCCATATTCTAAAGGACTTCATTGTATTTGCAACAATCTACTCCGTGTTGGGAGAATTACTCGGTTGCGGTTTGTTTTCTTACTTTATTGTAAGGGATTTGTA